ACATAGTACTTAAATAACAAATTGTCTTTTTTCCTTCTCTAATCAGACTGTAAATATTAGTACAATTGGCTCTTTCGTAAAACTGGGTATTAAAAAAATAGCATGTTATCTTGTTTATACCCAATACTACCATTTTATCATGTCTAGAAAAATTCTAATTATAGTAACATAAATAGGGAAACTCTACTGAAGAAGCAAAGCCCACTTTTGGTAAATGTTCCAGATTTTATTCCAATTTGTTTATTTTTATAAATCCACACTATGTGCTAATTACTACTCTATTAAACCTCTACCAGCTTCTGACATTTACTGGAATTTTTTTTTACTTTTGTCATTTTTTTGGTGAATATCTGTCAGAAAACATCATTTGGCAGCAGTTCCCCCCAGAATTTCTAAGCAAATCTCCAAGTGATTATACAGTGGTATATCTGGTGTAATTAAAGAGCTGTGCCTACATGTTTAACTGAAAGAGAATAGTAACATAGCTGCCATGCATATAAAAATAACTATTTTCAAACATATGATCAGAATTCACTAAAAGAACTATAATGGAGAGAGAAAAATACATAGAGTTCATAGCATCTGTGTATTTTGTTTAAAAATATAATTTTACTCTTCCTTCATTCTCATATTCCTTTAGGTGTTATTTGTCAGTTATTCTTTTTACTGAAAAAGAAGCCTATTGCCTGGAGAAAGAAAATATAATAAAAAATAAAATACTACTTGTATAATAATATCTATTATTATTATAATAATCAAAATAGCTACCATAATTAAATGCCCAGCATTTAGTTTCTATGTTACCTTAAAGGTTTAAATTTGGGTGCACATCAGTCTAGCAAATATATTTCATAAATGCTAAAGGGAAGGGGATGTTTTAGCTCTTCTCACAGTCATCATTTTATCTTTCACTCTATCCAACTGAGTGATTGAAGTTAAAGCAGCAAATGTGGTTCTGTATGAATAGCAATAATCCTTGCTTTTCCATCTTTTACAAGAAATAAATATGAATGACATTGAATAAAAACCAACATGACCTAGGTAAATGATTAGATATGGATATCAAGTGGGAGATATGAGTAAAAATATACTCCAAGATAATGTATTCATAAGGCCAGTTTTCTTTGTGTGTTTTGTTGTCTTATTTTGTTTCATTAAATTTGAAATGCTTGTGCAAAACCAAGTGGAAATACTATTCAATAGCAGTTTCCCTCATGAGCGAGAATCTTGGGAGGACAGTATGAATAAGAGATGCACACTTCAGCACTATCCATAGTGGGGAATTAATGCTTTAGGATTAGATGAGTTATTCAGTCAGGAAATAAAGAAGGTCAAAGACTGGTCCTTAATTTCTACAAAATATTCTCTTATTTTAACAGGCGACTCTAGGAAAGAGAAATCCACGAAAAATATACAGGTCAAATAGGATAGAACCAGGATAGTAAAATATCATGGAAGCTAAGAAAGTGACCACTGGTTTTTTATCAGCACCTCCCCATCATGTGCTAAACATCGTGTTTGCCTCTTTAGATACATAATCCAAATAAATTCTCATAGCCACCTTGACTACTAAGTATATCTAAGTACATCTATAATATAAGTATATATTATAGATGAAGAACTGAGTACAGAGAGATTAGACATAGCATAACAAGTTAATAGAAAGTCTAGATTCAAATACAGATAGGTCTGATTCCTATAATAGCAAACATGCCTCTGTAAGTTGCTATTTTATGCTAGGGGAGTACCAGCTACATTCTCTTCGAGGAGAATGTAGCTGGTAGTGTCATGCATTGTGGAAAGCTCAAACAGGATGGGCACTCACAGGAAACTTTAGCATTAAGCTGTTACTTCATATTAACACAGATCACTGCAGTGATCTATAAGAAAGTAGTATCCATAAAATACACTATATAAAAGGCAATGAAATATAAAAATTATAAAGGTTTGTTCAGAGAAAGTGAAAATAAAAATAGCTGAACCCTTCTGAGATGTTTAATGAAGGAAAAAGATTAGTCAATGCAAAGATGAGTGAAGGTTGAAGAAAGCGTATTTGTTTAATGGTTAGTTCAATTTTTTTTTAGTAAAAGAAGACTTGAACATGCTTATAAACTTAAGGAAGAGATTTTGAGAAGAAACGAGACTCAAATTACTGAGAAAAAAAATGGATGAATTAAGGAGGTGTTAGAAAAGAGAAAAAGCAGCATGCCTCCAAAACAAAGAGCTTAGTTCATCTAGAAAACAAAGAATAGTGATTTACTAAGAAATGTGTTGGAAAGATGAGATATAAGAAAACTTACAATATATGTCCTATATCTTTTCAGAAAAGAAATATCTAAGTCATCTCTTGAGGCAGGTAATGTCTGGTTGTGTGGACAGAAAAGAGTTTGGAATCCTCACAGTGAAAAGCAAAAGGAAGAATCAACTAGAGGTGAAAAAAGAATTTCCCAGCAACTCAGAGTGTATACTAATAATAGTGTCAAAAATTTCTAGTTGAGCCAGTTGGCACAATTTTGTGATTTTTTTCTGGTAACACTAGCCACCCAGTAATGAGATCAGAGAAATTGCACTGAGCTGTTTTCCCAGGTGAGGCTTAATAAGGTCGAGGTCACTGTAGATCAGAGGGACTTCCTGATACTAATTAGAGGTTACATGAAATGGTGGGTGATTCAAACTGGATCTAGGAGAAAATAAAATTAAAAGGGTTAAAAGAATTAAAGATGTGACCAGATTCATTAAGAGTAAGAGGAAAAGTGGAATCTAATCAACAGAACAAACAAGCAAGCAAAATATAACCAGAGACATTGAAATAAAGAACAAATTGATAGTAACCAGAGGGAAAGTGGGAGGGAATAATGGGGGCATGGGGAAGGTCATCAAGGAACATGTATAAAAGACACATGGACAAAGCCAAATGGGGGAAGGATTGAGGGTGGGCTGGACTGGAGGAGAGTGGTGGGGGGAAATGAAGACAACTATACTTGAACAATAATAAAAGAGAGAGAGAGAGAGAGAGAGAGAGAGAGAAGGATGCCTTGGTAGGATACAACTGACATATTTTTAAATAATAAAGTATGATTTTCAAAGAAAGAAAAAGAATAAGAGGAAAAGAAAAAACAGGTGGTTATGGTCACAGAAAGGAATTTCCAAGTTCAAGATTTTAGATATGATATTGTTTTGAATGGTCATTGCTTTTACACCTTCATATGAAGTACCATTAATGATAATATCACTCAGCTGTCCCATTTTACTTATAAAACAGTGAAGACCAGGAGGTCAAGTGATTTTTCCAAAAGTAATTCCATGACCCAGTGGCAGAACCAGGACTAAACCCAGGATCTTCTAAAGAGCATTTTGATATTTTAAATAAAATTATAACAACCATTAAATCATATTCTCATAAAAATGAATGGTAGATACAATCAAGGGAAAAGAAACTGATGTTATCCATAATATGGTCACAGTAAAGCATATAGTATACAAATATTTCCTATTTCAAAGCTTGTATTATACTATAATTCTTCCCTCTTTCCTCTGTCAGCTTTAAAGAAGAGAGAATATAACAAGTTTTCTTGAGGTTGAATTAGAAGCTCCCTCAATATGCACTGGGAGAAGAAATCAGCCTAAAGGAATGTGCTGGCAGCCTCAACTGCACTGTCAATGGCATTAAGCTATTTCAGAGTGCAGGGTGCACATCCATGATAATGTATGGGCTCTACACTTTTAGCTTCCTCCATACTTACGTTTTGAAAAGATTACTTTCTCTTGAGTAATGGTATGAGTTCTTAATCTTAAACTATAGTAAAATGTAATAGGAACATTTAGGAATAGGAGGGAAATTGTGTTATTTTAAAAGTCCTGTTTAAACAAATTAACCCAACAAAACGTCATTATTTTGAGGGGAGGGAATTTCTGGGGAAAGGGGGAAGGGTTTATAGGAACAAGTATAAAAGACACATGGACAAAAACTAGGGTGAGTGGAAATGGGAGGGAGGTGGGGAGGGCTGGGGAGTGGACTGGGATGGGAGTAAAAGACAGAAAACTGTATTTGAACAATAATTAAATTAAAAAGAAGAAAATGATTAAAAAAGAAGAAAGTCATTTCATCTTAGTAACCATCCCTCTTTCAACCTTCAAGGAAGGATAAAAATTTAAAGATAGAAAAATAAATTAAAGCTTTGCATTTTATGTTCTTTTGTTAATACATGTTGCATATTTTTCCTTGAAAATATTTTGTCTTCATTGTGTCTTTAATTAAGGATATGTATCATCAAGTTTATTCAGAAAAATTTTTGTAATGATCCAGTCAAGAAAGATTGTTATTCCTCTCAAGCAATGGCTTACCAAGGGGGCTACATGGGAGCTGTCCTGAATTGGGAGCAGTATTTGATCCCTGACATGGTTTAGAATTGCTGGGTCTATGGTGATGATAGAAAGCAAACTGGACTTTGGTCAGTTTCATAATTGTTCTTAGACTTTCTGCAGACAAGGCACTTGCTTGCTTACTCCTTACCTCTAGGATGGACCACTTCCACTCTCCCCCTGACCTCGGTATGCAACTGACCTCAATTTCTCCTCTCTGGAGTAGAGGACTGACTAAAATGGTGTTAGAGAAGGAGAATTTTATAATCTAAACCAGGTGGCCACAGACTATGGCATGTGGGCCAAATCTGGCCCTATGCCCATTTTTATAAACACAGTTTGTTTATTATAGTTGTTTAACATATTATCTTTGACTACTTTTGCACTACAACCAGAGTTGAGTAGTTCAGACACAGACCATATGTCCCCCCAAACCTAAAATATTTACTATCAGGCTCATTACAAAAACATTCCCTGACTCTTGATCAAGAATCAAAGCATCGCTTGCTTTGTAGACATGTAAGCAAGATAATTATTTCATATTCATATTATAGGATCATAATTTAATGTATTTTGGTTAAATGTTTACCATTGACCAACATTATAGTTACCTGTTAATTTTTCTCTGTTTTTTTCAGTCCCTGCTATGCGGATATTTGTTAGCAATGACTGATGTGGAAACCACATATGCAGATTTTATTGCTTCGGGAAGAACAGGTAGAAGAAATGCAATACATGACATCCTGGTTTCCTCCGCAAGTGGCAACAGCAATGAATTAGCCTTGAAATTAGCAGGTCTTGATATCAACAAGACAGGTAAGCTGTTTGACACATGTTTCTCTATGAATAAGGGATGATTTGCAGCATTTTACTAAGTAGGATTAAGATATGACAAACCACCTTCAAAAGTAGCCTATAGAGTTATAAACAGCGTAAAGCAGGATAAAAGTCAGTGACTTCTCTTTACAGGGTTTCCCCCTCAAAAACTGTTCAATAATGACAACTATAATGACAAAATATCACTAGCTGAGAATTGTGAGGGACTTCCTTTGAAATTCTTTAGTGTTCACCTTCTTTTTAATTTATACTTGACAATATTGCTATCCCATGTTTACCTTGGCTTAACAGCCACCTATTTAGCCTTGGCTCTGTTTGTAGCATTATGCTAAACCCTGAGAAGTATACCCAGAAAGTCTCTAGAAAAATCACGTAGGAAGTCCCAAGCACCATGGGAGTTAAATTCCTCATCTTTTATTTATACAGCAGTTTCATCTTTAAATAGTCTACTCTATTGCTTCTGACCTAATCTGAATTTATTCCTTTGGTTACTAGAACATCTTCTACTTATCAAGTTTTTGTTGCCTGCTCATCTACACTTCTTATTTTCAAGACATATTCAAAATATGTAATGCCTGACCCCCTTAGGTCCCCTTTAGAACAGAATTTTTTTAAGTGTACAATTACTTTCAATTTCTCTAAAACATGGTATATGGTGAGATGTTTTATGTGTATTTGTTAAGCATAAAGAATAAATCACTTGCAGGAGTGTCCATGCTTTTGGTGTCTCTGGGCCACACTGGAAGAAGAGTTTTCTTGGGCCACACATTAAATACATTGTGACATGTAATCATAAAAAAAAATCTCATAATGTTTTAAAAATTTACAATTTTGTTTTGGGCCACATTCATAGTCATTCTGAGCTACATGTGGCCTGCAGCCACAGGTTGGACACCCCTGAATGGACCAGCCCACATACCTCTATGCATTTGAATTATGATAACAAACTCTTAGCAAGCCTTGTTATGATTTACATAATTGCAGCATCACCAAAATATTTTGGCCACTAAGCTATATTGGTTGCTTAGTAGTGAACTAACACATGCAAAAATATGAGTCATTGAATCAAGGATTGCCTACAGCCTGCACTCAGGTGAAGTGACTGAATGTAGAGAGAAAGCATTGTTTAATCTCAGTATTTGCCAAGTCATTCACTGAAAGTGCTACAGACGGTGCAGTTATGAGGGTTGTTTTATTGGAGTAGTGTGTAGGTGCTCAAAGGGCAGGGCAGAGGTCATTATTACTGTGTAACAAGGGACTGACCAGCTGGCATAATGACCTTTCATCTTCCACGGTTGCTTTTTATTTAAACTAATTAAACTGCTGAGAAATCAGCTGGGTTATCATCAAGTGCTATAAATAATGTAAAATGCATTTTTTAATTCTTAAAATAAAAAAGTCAGGAATAAAAAGTGAAACTTGCTCTCCACTTCTGATTTCAGCCCAAAGACACTTGTGATTTCTGTAACCTGTAAACCTTTTAAAAATGAGTGCCAGGACCTGGGCATGAGATTTCCTAGTTATTTATCAAAAACATAGATGATCACTAACCACTGTAAAAATTCAGCTATTATTTTGTTTTTGAACTACATTATCCCAAGTTCACAGAACCAGAATTAGCTAGCCAACTTAAACTATTTTCTTGATGGGTAATTAATTACAAAGATAACACACTTTCTCTATTAGAATTTCAGACTTTCGGAATATTTTGTCAATTTCCAATGTGATATACTGAGGGTGGGTAAATATAAGCAATGGTGTTTATTTCACCCTTGTTCTTTTTTCCACTGTCTCTTACAGAAGGTGAGGAAGATGCTCAACGAAGCTCAACAGAACAGAGTGGGGAAGCTGAGGGGGAAGCAGCCAAATCTGAAAGCTAATACCCCACTTTTATCTTCCTCTACCTGACCATGTCTCAGCTCTCCAGGCCTGGTTGGATTGCATTTGTATACATGAGCGACAAAGGGAGAAAGAACATGGTTGTTCCACACAGCAGGAACCTGCTCGCTGTCATGTTAAACATGGGGGCAGAGGCTCTGGCTGCAGACAGACTCTTCTCTGCCCTTGTCATTAGCAATGGCTGAAGTCATGTGGCTTGTGTCTGGACATCATTATGTATGGATCCTTTCACTTGACCACATGATGAAATGCTTGTAGACAGTAGCAGTGACCTAGATGATGATTCTCCCTATAGCATCTGGCCCCTCCCAATGTCAGAGGATTTAATTGTGTGTAATTGCAAAGGGTTGGTTGAACCCCAGAGTTTAACTATCTCTGGCCCAAGTATTCACCCAGTAAGAATACCATACAGAAAGCACTGTTTTTAGCATTTTGTGTCCATGTGTTCCTGCTGTGTTACTTACACTCTTTTGTATTGTACAACAGAGATGCTCGGCACTGCCCTCTTCTTTGATTGCTCATGAAAAACAAAAATAATGTACATTACTGTGAATTTTTATACTACTCATTTTTTAAAGGGCTGTCTTTTTTTCTTTTCCATAGTGTGGTGGTGTACACAGGATAGAACATACTTTTTTTAACAATCTTTCCCCTTGATCCACTGCTGATGGATCAATTAAGTCTAATAGATTCAATAAGACTCCTTTGCTTTTTATGCAGGCATTTGGAATTTTCCATTAATATGAATATTACCTGAAATCAGTTTGTTTGGTGTCTGCACAGACCAGAATTTCACCTGCAAACCTTGTTTTATTCCCAAGTGGAACACTTTTCCCAACTAATATTTTTATCTTTAATTATGAGGATTTAAAGAATTGGGAAGGTAGAAAAGAACAGCCAAGATAATAATAACTAATAGAAATGTTTTATTCTTATAGAATCAAATTTCTCACAATGCTGTATTTTTCTCACAATGTTTAAATTTGGAAGACAGCACAGGAAAATGAAAATAATGGAGAAAATGATCTCCTTGCAATCATGTGGACACCAATCACAAAGCTAACACCCTTGTGTTGTGTTTTTCTTGTCCTTTTTCAGCCCTATCAGATCCAAATATTATTATGCACTTTTTAATGTTTGTAAACTTTTACTAATAACTAGTGTGAATTACATTCTGATATAATAATCATCATAATTAGAAGCTAACAAAATCCTCATTAATATTGTTGATGGCCTCAGCTGTGTTTTGACATCATGGTTCTTATTTGGAAAGTTTCTGTAAGCTGTGTGATCCCTCTGGTCAGTATTATGAACTCACTTATCAGTGATAATAAATTGGCTCATGAATTACTGAACAACAGGAAGAACTTTACAATAAAGAGCCCACTTAACTGTCCTCAAAGTCTTAGAATAGTCCCATGTAAAGCAGGCTAAACAGCATTTCAACAGGTAGCTGTATAAGGACTTACCAAGAACTCATCCCTCCTTTGTACTTGCAAATGAGATGAAAGATAAGTCTGCCCTCACCCTTTCCCTTTACAGTACTTTTCAAATGAGAAGGATAGTGGGGCATAGGTATCATTTGGTCCTCAATCATAGATTCCTAGGGGGAAAATGTTATAGCATGAGTCTCCCAGAAAATAGAAGAAAAATTAAGTTTTAAAGTACTACCTTCTATCTAAACTGTTAAGAGTCCAACATGTCCAATTAAATTCAAACAAATCTACCTATTAATAGACTTATAAGTGGGAAAATTGGTTTCTGAGGCTATTTTAGACCATCTCTGGTAGTCCATTTAAAACATCCAACCCATAAAATGACTTTTTCAATATCCTCATAGCTTTATTGTGAATCTAGGTTAAGTTCTCTTCACTCTTAAATTTGTGGAATTCCACTCTGATTTCATGTGGTTTTATGTAGTTTAGGACTAGTGCTGAGTATATGTAGAGGATGATGTTCCTATGTGATATACTATGATTAATGCATGTGGTGTCATGCTTGTCTTTGAATATATAATAGTGCTGAATTGCAAAGTTGTATGGAGCTTTAGAATTATTTTGACCTCTTACTGCTGCTTTGTCTGCTGTATTCAAACCCAGAGGCATTCCCAAGCTGAAAGATAAAAATCTACTTTCCAAAACAGCTATTTTACAAATGTTACACAGCAAAAGTTCACAGTATCTACCAAATTTTACTGTAATATACTTTACTTGCAAGTCAATAATATACAAGGAATTGAATTTTTAGGGAGAGAAGGAAAGTAGAAGTCTAGGGCACTGGCTGATACTACACATTAAATGCCCATTAACTAACCAACATACTAATCACTTCCCAGCACATATGCTCCCATTTAATCCTCAAATAGTTCATTTAAAAAGTGAATTATTAGTGTTATCCCATTTCACAGATTGGGAAATTAAGGCTGACTGAGGTATAGCTCTCCCAAGTTTAAAAGGCTAACAAATGATGAAATTAAGATTTGAACCTATCTTTGTCTCCAAGGAGGTTTCTATTGCACAGGCCACAAAACTAAAACCAGTAACAGAATATGTCTCTCTGGAAGGGAATAATGACAGACAGGTGGGTTCAGCCTCCATATTTTAGAGAAGGAAGTTGAGTCCAAGGAATGGGAATTGTTTCTCTCAAAGTTACCTATGTAATGACACAGATGTGTATAAATCATAGAAAGCGGGCTTTTTAAAAAATTCAAATAGTATTTATTTTTTGTGTTATCCTTCCCAAAAGTTATTTTTCTGGCATGTAGTCTATAAATTTAGCATTGTTCAGATGTTTTTAATGCCCCATGTCGCCCATTGAATTTAACTAGAAATAGGACACATTCAGTTTTTCAACTCATTTGCAACAAATGTGAACTTACCAGATTTGCATTTTATCAGTTGTAAGCATCTATGCCAGAATAATGTTATCATAAATGTATTGAATTTTTTTCCAATAGATAATAGGCAGCCTTCAATTTTTAGGCAATGCCCCAAGAGCTGTGCACTGCAACTCCCTACCCTTGAGTCTTACTCAGACTCAGTGGAAATACATCCTTTTAAAAGATGAATGACATTTTTATTTCTCTTCAGATAAAGGGTAAAGAAATGGAACTGCCTGTGGGTAGAATGCTTTGTGAAACCTATAGTAATAGAGGCAAATGCATAGTCATTAAGGGAAAACAAGAAAGGATCTATGATTTATGGTATCTCAATAGGCCCTAAATTATTCTTCAATTAAAAGAGTGGCAGTCTCTGAAGTCATTTGTGAGCTTGTATGACTTTTGTATTTAGCAATGTTGCATGCTCACATAATTGATATTAAAAAGAATACATTTTTTTCTGAAATGTACACAGTCTATTAAGAGTATTTATTGAATGCGCTATATGTATTTGTTGCTTGAGAAAGTGCTGTGGGTGATAAAGGAGAAATGCAAAGCCTTAGCCATCCTGTGGTGGACAAACCCAGCATTCCAGCCTCACCTATTCCTGGGCTTTACTCCGATTATTTCTGACTCCATTCCCCAATGGGAGCCTAGACTTTATCATCTAACACAGCCAACTCTTAAACTGCAAACACGAATGTCACTCTAGTGGTTCTTACTTGTTCATCTGTAGGGCAGTGATTTAATACCAGAAGAAAGACAGATGTTTATCAGAATCTCTTGAAAGTTTTTACAACATTCCCTCCTCCACCAGCTCCCACAAACATACATTCACTCACAAACATTCTCTTTCCTTGAAAGCATTCCTATGCAACTTTAATATCTTTCTTCCCATCCTCAATCCCAGCAATTTGAGAACCAGAGAACTAGAAGTGCAAGTCTTCCAGATGCACCTGCCCCATTCACTCCACCAAAAAGCTTTAAAATGAGTCAATAGCAACACATCATGCTCACAGACACCCAAGATCTTACTATATCAGGAATAACATCTTGGTCTGGAGGAGCAAGGAGAAGTGAAAATCTTTTATCTTTCTGTTGCTCTCTTTTTATCATATTATTTTTACCACATACAGTCAGTAAAGACCAAGTAGAGACTAAAGTGGGGCTCTGGAGAAAGTAAGCATCACACAGCACTCAGTGTGGGTCCAGGGAAGGTCTTAAGCCAAAGGAACAGAAGAGAACTGTAGATCTTTCAGTTCATCTAACTGGAGTCACAGGGTAGGACACTACATGTGGATGTGGGACAAACTGCTGGCCAGTGCAGCAAGTTTGCATCACCGCTATATCATCGCTAGCGGGGTTTTTTTTTTGCATCTATCTGGTACAGGATATGGGGATTTGGGATTCTGGCCAGCTCTCATTCATTGTTAAGTCAAAATGAACAAAACTATCTAACTATAACCCATTGACAGTGGAAGCCTCCCACTTCCTATCTAAGATTTATCCCTTCATCTGAGGGTTTAAAATCATTTTCTTTCTGACCTTAACAGGAGGTATATTAATTATGTTTCCCTTCACTGACTTGACCCTTTTCCACAAATATGCTCAAGTTCCAAGTTCCCCTCTTTCCTTCACCACTTATATTTCTCAAAATAGTAATCTATGCTTTCTATCTTCATGCATCTCCTTCTTATTTTTTATCTTTTTGCATTTTGACTTCCAATTAAGTTTTTCTTATTACAAATGCTATCTTCAGTAGCTCTCAAACTCTCAGTATGTCACTGATGTTCTGGCCAAGGTGAAAATTAAAAAGTGATGATATTATAGAGGACTCAAGCATCACCAAAAATCAAGTTTAATTATACAATTTTAATTGATGTTAGTGTAAGAGGACATAGCTGAATAATAATACCTTCTCAGGGAAGGAATCTACATATCCCAAGAAAAAGTCAATTTTCTCCTCCAAATTCACATTTTCCAAGTGTGGATGTATCCCTTGTCTTTGACCACATTCTCCCATGTTAGTTTGCTGTGTTCTCAGATCCTTCAGTGCTCATTTCTTCATGGGGGTAGTTGCCATGTATATAGGCTCTAACCTGGACTCAAGACATCTAGAGGTGGGCAAGGTTCCCTTGTGGTGTTTTTGAGTTCTGTGTTCTGTTAAACTCTGGATGACTGCCAGTGATATGTCACTAGTTCCCCTTAATAGCAGCCATTTACCTGTGAAAGCACTCAACTGCTTTGATCCCAGTCTCACTCCAGTTCTTTGAATGAGACCTATATAAATATATTAATGCCAATGGTCAAATATAATGGATAGTTTATATATGTTTTATTAGCCTACCCAGTGGCATATAATCCTGTTTGCCGTGGAATCTTATTTGAGGTGCTTCATTTGCCTTCCTACTTTTTTTTCCTTAGATGGTTTTATCTTTTGCTCCTTTCTCTTTGGCAATTTCTCACTTTCCTTGACTAGGTCCTTTTTTTCCTACCTCGCCACCAACTACTGTGTTTCCCTGGGATTCCTTCCTTATTCCGTTCTCCAAATGCAGTCTTCAGATGATCTCTTCCACTCCAACACCATAAATTACCACAGTTAACATGATTAATCCCATATCTTCACCTCCAACCCAAAGCTTACTGCTGATTATCTAACCTATTGGTTAAATCAACATGGATTTATCAAAATGATCTTAAAACTAAATATTCCAACACTAAATCCAGTGTTGGAATACAACACCATTCTATGCCTGCTTTTCTCCATATGCTACAGATCTCATTTAATGGTAGCACTACTTTCCCAGCAACTTTAAATCAAAATTCTTAGAATTTTCATAACTCTTCTTCCTCCACTTATTTTTTCAGCCCATAAGTTCCAACTCTTAGCTACGCCTTGAAATAGTCCACTTCTTTTTGTCTGCCCTTCAACCTTTTAAATCATCACTTAGCTAATACAATGTAATGGCCTGTTCATCATGACCTGCCTCATCTGGCATTCTTTCTATCCATCTTGCAACTAGATGAACCTTTCTAATGCATAAGTCTGATGATTTCATTCCCTTAATTTAAAAAATCCTTTAATTTAGCTAGATAAAACTTTCTGGTGTAAGTGCCACAGTTTATTTTTATATAACTTTTTGCTCTGTGTTAGCTATTTTCCTGTTCCTAAAATTTTCTTCGTACTTGGCAAATTCTCATTAATTCTTTTAGACTATACCCCATTTTGCCTTTTTCTTTAGACCCTTCCTGAATTGTACTCGACTCCCAAGCCCCACCATAAGAAATTAGATGTTCTATACTCCTTGCTCCCCTAACACTTGATCTGCAGTTGTATCTCACTAGATAACAGCTACTTGTTTACATGTGTGCCTTCCCAACTAGAGTATAAGCTCTTTGAAGGAAGCCATCTACTTTCATTTGTTTTTGTATCCTTGTTGTTTATTAACACCTAATAAATATTTATAAATGAATGTCCACCCTCCTAAAGCTCACAATATACCCAAGACAGAATTTACATACAGTTGATTAGGAGAAAATGAATTTCAGAGATAAAGTTGCAAGTTGAAAATGTATAATATTGTATTACAAAAGGAAACTTGATTTCTATAATTTTTCTTCTAGTTTATGCAATAGTCACTATATTTAAATTTGATTCACAAACTATATGCTGCACATTTACACATACACACAGAGATTTCATATGACTTACATAGATGTCCCATAGGATAATGTACTAATAAATGAGAAAATCAATGTAAGCCTAGTAAAGGTATTTATGTAGGGAGTACTATGGGAGTACTATGGGAGTACTATTTATGTAGGGAGTACTTTATCAGTACTATGTAGGGAGAATTTCCTTCACTTTGCTGGAAATGAGAATAGCCAAAATGTGAAGGTTGTACCTTTAGTCTTCTGGCCTCAGTGAGATACTAGTTAGAAACGAAGATTCTGGGGAAAGGTTTGTGTTCCTTGAACAAGAGGACAGTGGAATTACTAAGAATATGCTTTAAAGAAATATAACTAATATACTGCAATAGCTTAAAGAAATGGAAATTCAGATAGACTATGATGAACTTCAAAATAGCAGGAATCAGTAGGAAAAAGGGGAAAATAATACAAAAGGGGCTAAGAAATATATTTTTCTACACTCAAGAAGGAAAGGACACTTACATATATGTACACCTGAAAGACTTTTTCCTGAATATTGTATCTTTAGGAAAACACAGAAACATAATGGTAATCAAAATAGCACTGGAAAACTAACAGGACTAAAGAAGTGATGTGTACATGCTGACTCTGAAACTATGAAATAAGAATGGTCAAGGTAGTGATGCAGGTTCTCCTAATAGAACACATGTTTGCTCTTTGGCTGCCATGATTCATTTTACACACTGCACGTGAGTAGGACAGTGTGACTATATATATGACTATCCTACTGGATTTTTATGTTTTCTTTCATCCTACATGACCTTTGGAATACATAAATAATACATAACCATGAATCTTAGGGGTCCAGAGTTACATAAGAAATAGTCATAGCTAGGGAGTGGAAACTTAAACAGAAGCTGCCTTCACAGATGGTCCTAAATAAAATCTGGTAAATCATCAAATTTATTTAGGAAATATTTAATGAGTGTTTAGTAAGTTTAAGTCTCTGTATTGTTACAATAAGGAGTGAAATATAAAAAAATACCATAAAATCTTTGACCAATAGAAACTGATATATGTGATATTGGCCACAGTTTTTTCTATCACTATTCCCAGATTTTCCCCATATATCTCTTTTTATAAGGAATTTTTCTTTGATTCCAGTGTCTAATGAGAATTTACTTTTTATTCAGCTGATTCCCAGTCCTTTGTAACACAAAACTGGGAGAATATATCTAGAGACAGGTCAGAATGATAAGAGGAAAAATATTTCATGATGAATCAGTATGAAGGTTTTTCTTTGTTAGGAATAAACTAGGTAATGGTTCAAGCAGACAAATTTTTTCCAAGTGAAAATGTTTAAGTATATTTGTATAATAAAGGACTAAAAAGTAGAGGGAGGATTGAAAAGCAATGAAACTGAGGTTTCTCAAAGAAAGTTTGGGAAGGTTGATGAGATTTCAATGAAAAAATAATCAAAAAATTGGGAAGGAGCTAAAAGGGTTTTTATAGGTTTTGAACTAAATCTTCCTTAATATTATTAAGTGATATGTAAATATTGACTCTTCAATTATTTCTGGTTTTTAGATGAGACTTTTTGAATGTGGTTCCATACAAAGGGTCACATGAGGCCATAAGGGTTATTAGAATATGTTAATTTAATAGCAATAAGACAAGTACATACATGCTGTAATAAATGTTGAATATGATGAAGAATAATAGGTGAACATAGAACATGGCATTTCAATTCTGGGAAAAAATATCACTCAACAAAATAGATCATGGAGAAGGATATGTTAGAATTATTTCTCAAAATGGT